CAGTAGCTTGGGGCCTCACTTCTGCTTAAAGGCATGTGGGGGAAGGAGCCGGGAGTGCACTGCTCATACCTAAGATTCCTCCCCGGCAGTCTGGGCCCTGCCTTGTCTCACAAAGGACTTGTGGGTCAGCCCCGCACTCTGGAGACCAGGCCCTGAGCGCCTGCTCTGCCTGCGCAAACCACCCCCATAGCCAGGGACCCGCTCTCCGTGTGTGTTCCTGTGTGTGTGCACGTGTTCATGGGTGTGCATGGCCTAGATGCACGGCCGACTTCCAGTACACGGAAAGACGATATGCCTTCTCCCCGTGAGCCCACAGGCCTGTGCTCCTGGTGGCTGCAGCGGTCCGTTACTTACTGTCCACACAGCCCTTCCAAACGCGGGAACAGCACCCTGGCACCCACGAACTGCTCATGGCCAGGGGCACTGGGCATGATGGCCCCACCGTGGGGAAGCAGATTCCTTAACGGAACAGGGTACGGGTCATCCTGGCTTCCGCCCGCCCCTCATTTAAGCTCATAAACCTCCCACCTCTCCTGCTGCTGAGATCACTCTAAGGGTTTCCTACCGTGCCAGTGACATGTCAGGATTTAGGCTCTGAGGCTGACGGGGCCCACGTACAAGCGGCCCGCCCTTCACTGGGCTCTCAGAGTGTGCCCTCAAACCACAGTTGCAAATAAAATGCCGGCTTGTTTGTGCAGGAGAAATGTCGAAGCCATAAACTATTCTGGCCCCTACTTCCCACCCCACCTCCCTCCCATCTAGAAGATCAAGAAGCGGTTGGCTTACAGAGGACTTGGAATGTGGCAGAAAACCTGAGGATCATTCGGGAAAGTCACACGGGCTGGAGTTTCCTATTGTGCTAATCTCTTTTCAGAGCTCTGGTGGTGCAACGGTTAAGCACTTGGTCAATGGTTTGAAGCCACCAGCTACTTGACGGGAGAAAGATGAGGCAGTCTGCTTCTGTAAAGATTGCCAGGCTGGGAAACCCTGTGGGGCAGTTCTACTCTGTCCTCTAGGGGCGCTGTGAGTCAAATCAACTTCATGGCAGCGGGTTTGGTTTGAGTTTTCATCTTCTCAAATCACCTTCTGGCACCGGGGGACTACTGTCTTCTTAGAGACCCTCTCTCGGAGTGAGGGCTTTCTCTCTGTGACACCTCATTGTATGCAATCAGAGCAGCAGCCTCCCTGGGGGAGGAAGCCACAGCCCAGGTCACCACTGATGTGCGGCCTGGGGCACTTGACTTCAGTTTCCTCACCTGGAAGGTGGGAGGCAGTCCTGATGGGGATTTAGCCTGCTGGGAGGATGGCAAGTTCAAGCCTGTGATGTGCCTGACACGGATTAGGTCCTCAGGCAGCAGGATGTTGTATGGGCTGTGCGGTGGGTGCACGAGCTGGCTTGGAGTGCCGTGAGCACAGCACGCATTGGGCCATTAGTGTGTGTTTGAACACTGTGTCTGAAGTGTACCGCTGTGCTGGTGCCTAGAGGGGCTTGGTTCGGTCATGCAGGACCAGGCGGCAAACGGGGCCACCTCGATGGCCTACCTCCTTCTGTTTGATCCACTTCTCGCCCAGAGCCAGGAAGCCCAGGCTGTGGTGTCCCACGTGCCAGGCTGGCTTCTCGGGGGCGTGCACGCTGCCCTCACTGAAGTGCTTTGTGTGTGGGCACAGGACTGCCAGTGGGTGGAGCAGGCCTGCTTACCGCCATCACCCTGCACTCGGCACACACACGTTCTGCTGTGCTGGGGACCGTCTTTGTCCTCCAAGGTCATTCTTTGGAAATGGCACTGTGAGGCCTTGGTATGTCCTCCTGTGACTTCTGGCGGCTCAGCAGTGGGCCCCGCGCAGCCCCGTCCTTGGGCGTTCTCAATCTGCAGAGGGTGTTCTGAGGTGGGTCCGGTCTGCTCCAGCTGGGACCCACTGAAGAGGCAGGGACACCCCACGCCAGCTGACGCCCATCTTCCCAGTTGCTGACTCCTTTTTTCTTTATGTTTTTGTGAATGGCTGACACTGGCGAGTAATTCCTAGTACACACTGTTCTGGATCCACATAATGATACTCTTCAGAGAGTAACGGCCACTGTCCCAACCCTGGCTTTGCCATCAAAGGAGTGCAATGAATTCTGGCAGACCAGCCAGTCAACCTATGCCTGATGCTCTGTTGGGGCGCAGTGGGCGTTCCTCCTTTCCCAGAAATTTTGGGACTAGCCCTGATGGGTCCATTTTGGAGTGGACTAGATGGTGCTTTGCCTGCGCTCGGAACATCAAGTGAGGGCTGTTCTCGTGCTCTTCCTTATCATCAGTGGATAACGCACGCCTACGCTCACATCCAGGAATCTTTGGGTGACACAAATGGCTGACACACTCAGCTGCTACCCAGAAGGCTGATGGTTCAAGCTCACCCAGAAGTACCTAAAAAAAAAAAAAAAAAAAAAGCCTGATGATCTGCTTCTGAAAAATCAGCCATTGCAGCCCTACGGAGCACAGTTCTTCTCTGACACGTGCTGTCATGGGCCAGAGTCAACGCAAAGGCAGTGGCTGCTCAGGGTCTTCTCCGAGGCTGCACCGAGGGCGTAGGTGAGTGGGTGGGCCCCAGGCTCCCTGTTAAGGGCACACTGAGTGCATTTCCTCACTGAATCCCCATGCCTGATGGAGAAGGCAGTGTTGTGTGTATGTTCAAGCAAGGACAGGAGTGTTCCTGGTGATTCGAGGAGAGTGGCTAATCCAGGCTCTTGTCACTCCGGTCTGCAGTGCTGGTCTCTCTTCACGGGGAGTTTCCTCTCTCCTTCCTGCCTCACTTTCAGCAGCTTCACACTCCCACCCGTTACCTTCCTGGGTGGTGCGGTTGGCTTCCCTGGTGAGCTGTCTCCCTCTAGCATGGGGCCAGGCACACACGAAGTGCACCGCGTTCATTGTCTAGGGCACGTGTAACAGTAGAGTTGAAATGGTTCCATTCCAGAAGGCTGGTGGTTCAAGCCCAGAGGCACTCTGCTTCCGAAAGGCCACAGCCTTGTACGTCCTGTGGAGCACAGTTCTACTCTGCACACACGGGGCCGAGACGAGCCAGAGTTGACTCAAGAATAGCAGTGTGTATTTGCTTTAAAAGTGAGTGAGGGAAATAGAAGAACATTTGACCACATAGAAATATTTAAGAAATGCTTCTTCATTACGTCCATCATCAAGTGGGAATCTAATATTGATCTGGTTGACACATCAGAAATAAGAAGGCCCTATAAATTCTAGGAAGGAGCTCTGGTGGCACAGTGCCTAAGGCATTTGACTGCTAACCAGAAGGTTGGTGGTTCAAAGCCATTGCTGTTCAGTAGAAGGAAGATGGGGCAATCTACTTCTGTAAAGATTTACGATCTTGGAAACCCAATGGGGGTTGCTGTGAGTCAGACTTGCCTCGATGGCAGTGGGTTTTGGGTGTCAGTTCTGGGACTACAGTGCAATGAAACATGACATTGTCCTCTCTGGATATTCTTCTCACAAAATGTTGAATGTTTTCGGGAATGAGTGTTTTCCCTTCTTTCCCTATGACCAGTGTTTGAGTACGTTTGATGCCCTGGGACGGTTGGATTTCATCCATCAGAAGATGGAGCACGAAGGTGGTTGTGGGGAGGAATGCATACATGATCCAAACCCTCCAACTTAGAAGCCCCTCTGTGTGGTGTCTAAAAACCCAAACATTGGGGAAAGACACTTTAATTGTGATTTGAAATCAAGACCATAAATCAAGCCGTGAGCAACTTCAGACCCTAATGAAGGTGTCTTTGAAGCAACCAAGGTTGTCACCGCTTAGATGATCCTGGAGTTCTGAGTCACCCCATCAGCCCGAGGATGGTCAGGACTGTGGCATGGGGCTGTTATGAAGGATGGGAATGGAGCCCTGGGCGGAAGGTTAAGGGAAACACTTAATATTTTTGAGTTAAAGGATGCGGTTTTCCACGCTCACAAGCCACAGCTTAGAGTGATGAGTTCCCAGCAGGACTCTGAAGTCGGGGAAGAAAAGCCAAGGTAGAGAGAGAGCATCTGAGTTCATTTATAGAAGACTTGAAACATTTTGTTTCCATAGTTGACGTGTTGGGTCATGGAACAAGATTTCACCCTTAATCACTGCACATATTTAGAGTTTGAATAACACGTAATCTATCGAATATTTAGCTGTAGCCACAAGAGGAAAGATTTCAGAATATGAATAAAGGAGTATTTTGATAACTCCTAATTTCATAGGGTTAAAAGAAATTAGCCTGAAAGTGAATGTAGGACATTTTTATGTGGTTTTGGAGTGCCTTGCTGAAAACTAAAGAGCCAAGATTGTAATAAAACACAAAGAAAATAGGAGCATGTAAAATGCTAATTTACATTTATAGTTTCAGGATTAAAAAGAAGAAATTATAAGTGGAAACTTGTGTGCTGTCATTTAATTAGACTCTTCAAGATGGAGTGAGTCTCAGAATGACTTCTCGATATACCGTAACTGTATTCAGGTGTCCGTTATATAAACACAGGGAGGCATGCTAACATGGCGTCCAAGGACAGTAGAACGGCAGTGTTATCTGCATTGTGCCCCCTTCCTTCAGGATTTGTACTCATTCCCTTTACTTTCTTCTGTTCCCTGGTCATTTTTCATTTCTCTTTTACATTTCTACCCAAATGACAATGAATTCCTTTCCTTCTCCTCTCACTGACATGCCTGCAGTTCATGTAACGATTCCTATTTTAGTACCAGCTGAAATCCCACAGTAGGTTTCTGAGTTTTCACTCTGCACATTCTTCCTGCTAGCAGCCTTGGCTGGTTCTCCTCTGTGGAGACCCTGCCTCGGTGGTGGAGGTTGGAAATGAGCTCGTTCTGGTGGGTAGGCTGGGCCGTTGTAATATCTCCAGCGTCATGTTACCGACACCAACCATTAGCAATCCCCCAAGCCCATGGCAGAGCTTTTCTTTTCCTCTTGGTAGGCGATCTCTTCACATTTGAGGTTGCTGGCAAAGAATCTTCCAATAATGATGAAGTTTCGGGAAAGCATGGTGAGTTGCAGCAAATTGGTCAACTGCTCTGTGTTTGATTAGTGGTTCTACATCCCTCAGTGCAGGGCAAGCTGTCAAGGCCTGTCTCGTTGGAGATAGTCTGAAATGTGTTGGATTTGAGCTGTTTCTTAAAGGACAAGTTCATCAGTTTGTATGTGGAGAACAAAATGCTGAGGTCTTGAATGTGACCTGCCTCCAGCTGAGGTTTTCTGTTTAGTTTTAGTCTGTCCAGTGAGACAAATGAATCTCCCCTATCTTTTAATGGGGTGTGGTCTTAGACATTTGGATTCCTTCCTGAGATTAAGAAAATATTTTGACTTCTCTTTGCTTTGACCATCCTGGTCAGGCTCATTCCATACATCAAGTTAAAGCAGACGGGAGACATTTCCCTGTTGCTCTTAGGTGCTGTCAGGCCGGCTCTGACTCCTGACGGCCCCATATACCCAGAACAAAGCACTGCCCGGTCCGGGGCCATCCTCACAGTCCTTGCTCTGCTGGCGCCCACTGTTGTGGCCACTGTGCCAGCACAGCTCATTGAGGGGCTCCCTCGTTCTCACTGGCCCTCTACTCTACTGCACAGGAGGTCTTTCTCCAGGTGACATGTTCAAAGTACTTGGGAAGGAATCTCACCATTCTCGCTTTTAAAGAGAATTCTGAGTGCACTTCTTCCAAGACACATTGGTTTGTTCTCCTGGTAGGCAATGGTGTATTCAGTATTCTTCACCAACACCACAGTTCAAAGGCATCGATTCTTCCTTGGTCTTCCTTTTTCATTGTTCAGCTTTCCCACGCATATCAGGTGATTGAGAAGACCATGGCTTGGGTCAGTCACAACTTAGTCTTCAAAGTAACATCTTTCCCTTTTAAGACCTGAAAGAGGTCTTTTGCCATGGATTTGCCCAGTGCAACGTGCTGTTTTCTTTCTTTGGTATTTCCTCGAACCGGGCCAAGGCATTGCAGTGTTTGTGAGTAAGGACTAGTGCTCGGTAGATGATGCTGGGAGCTGGTTTATGAAGAGCCCTCATGGAAGAGACGGATGAAATTCTTCCCCATGTTGTTCCATGTTGAGCTGGGCTTGGGAGGTCCTCCTTGTGGTGACATGGACATGGGAACCCTCTTGTCCCTCACCTACCTTGTAGGAGCAGGAGAAGGGAAGGCACTTGCCTCTCCTGTGGAGTCTCAGATGGAGGCTCATTGTTCTAGTCTGACGAAAGACAGACACGCTGTGTCCTCTTTGATATACAACAGATATCTTTCTTCCTAAGAGTGAGCCCCCTCCGCTACACTTTCATGTTTTAATGAAAGTTGAAAGGACGGATACACGTTTTAATAGTCCTTTGAGGAATGATGGAAACAGACGTTATTGGAGTGTATGGACTGTTCATTTTTATTCCTTAGGGCCCTTCTTTGCTTTTAGGATGGTAAAATTTGTGATTATCTTAATGGACCCTCTGTGTTCAGCAGACAGATTTCACTAACTCTTCCCAATGTCATCCTTTGATCATGCTCTAATTGTGCGAAGTGCTGTGGCTCTAACATGTAACTCAACAGCCAACCCCCGTGCTCGTGTTTGTACATTGTTGTACCTCTTTTCTCTCTTTGCTTACTCCTAACCCTTTTTGACCCGTCTTCAGACCTGAGCCCAGAGGTGCCTGCTCTCCTTTGTATCCAGGCCTTGGTTTCTGGTTGTTCACATTGGTGCACAGAGGGAAGTCCCCGGTGGTGTAAATGGTGATTGCTCTTGGCTGTTCACTGAAAGGTTGCAGCTTCGAGTCCACCCAGAGGCACCTTAGAAGAAAGACCTGGCAATCTGCTTTTGGAAAATCATCCTGTGAAAAGCCTAGGAGCACAGTTCTACCCGGACATGCATGGGGTCACCATGGGTTGGAGTGACTTGATGCAATGGCTTTGGTTTTTGGTTTGGTCTTGTTTTGCGGTGGCACAATTGATTAAGTGCTTGATTACTGAACCAAAGGTTGGAAGTTCTAATCTACCCAGAGGCACCTCAGAGGACGGGCTTAGTAAGCTGCTTCTGAGAATCGCAGCCTCCAGACCTCTGTGGGGCACCGTTCCGCCCCGACGTGCACGGGGTTGCTCAGTTGGGGGTGACTCAGTGGCAACTGTGTTTTGGGTTGAGTTTTGAGTAAAAGCTTTAAAGTTCTGCTCTCTCTCCTGAGATTTTGATGAATCCGAGTCTATTGATGAGTCCGTAAGGATCAATCTCATCTGCTCTCCGATGCCCATCACTTAGGTATTGGATCAGACATTGGGGTGGCTCAAGACAGGACCCCGCCCCAGTGCGTCCACGTCTCCTCTGCCCCCCCCCCTTCCTCCCTGGCTGAGCGTGTGCTCACTACTTTATTTGGAGGGTCTTGGGAAGACTAAATGAGCTCCTGCACACGTGCAAGTCCCCTGGCTCAGGAACCTCTGCTTCCCAGTTCCCATTATTTCACCTAAGACCGTGATCTCAGGGCCCAGGCTTCTGGTTCCTTTGCTGAGCCTGTGTCCATTTTGAGCTCTGATGGATCAATATCCTCCTGAAAATTGACTTTAAGATCAAACATGTTCTTCAAAAGTCACCAGTCACCAAAATGCAGAGTGTGACACTGGGTGATGGGCAAACCTTCCCCGTGTTCCTAAATCTGATAGGGTGGGAGGCCAGTCGCCTTGGGCAGCAATCTACATGGGTTTTGGACCCATAAGTGTTACTTTGTATGCTATGGGTGTTCAAACTCGATCTGCATCCTGCTTCTGCTCTCCGGCTTTGAAGTCTCGTCGCCAGTTTGTGTGAATTTGTCAAGTATAGGCAGGGCCTGGGTTACAGATGTCCTTCCGACTTATGTACAACCATGCAGCCTGTAGTTATGGTCATAAAGCCTATGCTATTAAAAATTCGAGGTACATACAATGGTTCTTAATAGCAAACCTGTGCTACTTTGGGACGCACATCAAAACATTATTATTGATGTTTTAGTGTATCTGGAAGTGTTTCTTTAATGTTTTTATGTGTAGAAAGGTACACTACATACTAAGATAAACATTTGACTGACATTAGATAGGAACCATTGCAACTTACCTACAAACTCGATTTAAAGATAGAGGTAGGGATGGAAGTCTTTGGTGACCCAGAGGCTGCCTGTACCCGTCTCTTCCTGTGAACGCTTTGGCCTGTACACGTGGCTTCACCTGAGGAAGAGGTGGGGCTGGACCTCACCTGCAGAGAGGCTGATATGATAGGTTTCCTCCTGCTACATTGATTCATTGCATCAGAGAAAGGCCCCAGGTGATTTGGATGGTCTACTCCTCTCTCTCCACTAACCACCCGATTCTGTGGCTGAAAACCATCACTAAAAGGCTAGATTGTACTCTCAAGTGCAAAGTCCTGGAAATCTCCCTGTAAGAAGCTGATCTAGTAATTGACACCTCAGGAACCCGCTTCTTACCCAGCCGGGATTCTAGAAGATGTGTGGGTCGCGCCACATTCTGACATCTTGCATGAAGGCTGGTCCCGCCAGCTGGCAGCGTCTTGCAGGTAATGGGCAGACTGGCCCCGTCGCTCGGCTGCAGACGTCCCGTGAGCATGAGAACCTGCCCTGCAGAGACTCTCTGCTCTGAAGGCCCGCCAGGTGGCTGCAGCTGCTGCATGGCCGCGAGCACGGCAGGTGTTCGCCCGGCTGCGGCCTGAACCTACACGCCCACGGGTCCCGGCCTTGCCGGATGCGCAGGGAGCTGCTTCTGCAGGTTGGCTCTTCATCCGGAAAACACTCAGCACGGGAGCTGGTGCCAGAGAGATCGAATCCGGGTGGAGCCACGCGGGCTTCCTCTGTGCCCTGGCGTCCGGCCTGCCACACACCCTCCTGGAGCCTGGTGCCCAGTCCCAGCTCCTGTCTGCAGAGCAGGAAGAGGGGACGTGGAGCCTTGTGGGAACCCACCACCGGAGGGCGCCCGAGAACAAACGCTCTTTGTTTCCAGCTGGGTCCCTAAGGTGGGGGGCCAGTCCCTGCCACCGCAGAGTTTGGGCCACCTTGGCTATAAAGATGTCCCTGGCCTGTTGCTGTAGGTGAACCAGGCCCCACAGCCGAGAAACCAGGCCCTGCAGGGGGTGAACCAGGCCCTGCAGCCAGCTGCCCCATTTTGCATGCTTGCCTCATGGCCCATAGCTGCTAAATCCGGGAGTTAGAAACCAGGGGCTTTAAAATCATTGTCTCCAGCAGCTTTAGTGAGAGGCCTGGGATACATGTGGTGAATTTAGTGCTGCTACCCACATATTAGGAGCTCTGGTGGCATAGTGCCTAAGGTATCAGACTGCTAACCAGAAGGCCGGTGGTTCAAACCCACCAGCCACTCCTCAGAAGGAAGGTTGGGCAATCTACTTCTGTAGTGATACCGCCTTGGAAACCCAAGGAGGGGTGGCTATGAGTTGGGGCGACTTGACGAAAGTGAGCTGCGTTGTGGGCCCACATACTAGATCACAGTCTCCTTACGGCAAAGCGGATCTTTGGTCTTAAACAGTCAAAGGCCATGAGGGCCTGTCGGGGGGGCGCTGGCCAAGAGCTCAGGCAGATGGGCGCGTGGGGCTGCCTCTACCTGCACGACTTCGCCAGCTTCCCTGTGACTCCGGGGTTTGTGTTCCAGTGTCTTAGGGACAAGTCAGTCTCAGGGCGGCCTGGTGGTCACAGTCTGGATCACGTCCCGGGACAGGTCAGTCTCAGGGCGGCGTGAGCCCGTCAGCCTCGACCCCCAGGTGCCTGGGTGTCTGCTGTGCAGCAGGTGGGACGGTGGGGGGCTTGGGGACGTGATTGCAGGGAGATGCTGAGACGGTAGGGTGGTGGGGAGCACCGGGCGGCCGGTTTGGATTCATTCTTCCCTTCGGGCCCTGGTGCGTCCTTGCCCCTGGCCTTTTGTCTGGCTCTCGCTCTTTGTTGGCTCCCAGATGTCAAAAACGGGGACCAAACAGCTTCATGGGCGGGGCACGGGGGCAGGTAGAGGCTGATCCAGGGGTCATTCTCTCTCTGTGTCTGTTTCTCTCCCTCACCCTGTCTCATTATGTCTGTCTGTCTGTCATTCTCTCTTCCTACCACCCCTTTTTCTCCCTCCCTCCCCCTCCCCCCTCCCCCCTCTCCCTCTCTGTCTCTATCCCCTCTCCCTGCCCCCTCTCTATCTTTGTCCCTCTCCTTGTCTTTCCCTTTCTCTCTTCTCTCCCTCTCTCTCTCCTTCCCCCTCTCTCCCTCTCTCTCCCCCTCCTTCTCTCTCTATCTCTCCTTCTCTCTCCCTCCCTCTCTCTGTCTCTCTTTCTCTCTCCCCCCTCCTTCTCTCTCTCTCCATCTCTCCCCCTTCTCTCCCTCTCTCTCCTCCTCCCTCTCTCCTTCTCTCTCTCTCTCTCTCCTTCTCTCTCTCTCTCTCTCCCTCTCTCTCTCTATCTCTCCTTCTCTCTCCCTCCCTCTCTCTGTCTCTCTCTCTTTCTCTCTCCCCCTCTCTCCCTCTCCCTCTTTTCTTAGGCTCCTTGTATTCTGTTTGTTCAGAGTGCACGTGGTAACTTTGGGTGTCTTGACCTGCCCCCTGCTGACTGCTGAGGTTTCTTGGGGGCCTGTGGGCCCGAGGCCCTGCTTCCGCCTGGAACGCCTCCTGCAGCTGGGGTTCACAGGTCACCTGTCCCTGCAGGGACTTCTCTGGTCTTCAGCTGCCCACAGCTCTGCCGACATGTCTGAGCAGGAGTGCTGAGCTCCTCCAAGCCCCACTCAAAGCCAGCATCCAACAAGTCTCTTTTTAAACCAGTTGTTTACGCAGCTTTCATTCCAAGATGGCCTGTGTTCTCAACCTCGTCAGGCAGCTGGTGACTTTGCAGCAGGACCAGGCCTGACCCCAGTGCTGCCGGCAGCCACAAGGGAGCAGGAGCTGATTAGTTTGAGGGCGAGATGGGCAGGTGAGCTGCGTGGAGGCCAAGGATCCATACAGACAACGTGGGTTTGTCTCCAGGCCGGCATTTGATCAATTTGTCTGTGGCATTTTCTTACTGCACCACCCTCCCCTGACCCAGCAAGCAAAGGGGGACGTGATGGAGGAAAGGTTAAACACACACCCAGGTGTGCTCATAGTCACCGTGGCACTCTCAGGGAAAGGCTGGATGTGCTGCGTGTGCAAGGGGTGAGGAGGGGCAGTGGAGACGTGAAGCCAGGGCCATCGTGGGGTGGCTTTGTCCCCAGGCTGGGACCACCTGGGACCTCTGAGCATTGCTTTAGTCCCACAGAGGAGCTCTGGTCTGACTCTCCAGGTGCCCAGCGTGCTCCTTCCTGACCCAAGATCTGGGAGCCATGCCCACCGTCTCTGGTGCAAGACCTTGACCATAGCATGCGCACACACACACACACACACGGCCCTATAGGCACATGCACAGCCATGCACGCTTCCACACAGGCATGCACAGGCACCCCCTACCCCCTACAGGCATGCACACACACACACAAACACATGTTGCTGCACACACACGCAGACGCACATACATCCCACATGCACGCACACAGACGCACACGCACACCCGCACACACATTGCACAATGCACACACATGTGCACACACTTACACACGTGCACACACGGGGAGGGTCCGGCAGGCCGGGCCCTTCCCTCTCTCTCCTCTCTGCCCCTCCGCGCAGGTTTCCATGCCACGCCCTCCTCTTCCTGAAATCTGCTTTCTGAAGAGCACTGGCTGCTCCTTCAGCTCCTGGGGGTTACCCGGGAGAAGCACACAGAGATGTCTACGTGCTCGTTGCTGTTCTGGGAACCACTGAGGCCCATGGGCGCCATCATGGCATAGCTCCCCCATGGAGACCACAAGCATTAGCCTGGAGTGTGAGATACGATTGCCCGTGAGCACATCAACGGGAGCTCATGCAGTGCTGTGTCGCACCGTAGAGCAAGTGAGGATGACAGACTTCGTAGCCTGCGCGGAACGTCTTTACAAGGTAGCCATATCTCTCCACACTTGGAGGCCAGACAGTGGAGGACAGAGCCATACCATTCCACACTTGGAAGCTACACAGTGGAAGACAACAGGACCAGACAGGTCACACATCCCCGAGAGCAGCTGTGGCAGTCTGTTGAGACATCGCCTTCAGACCACAGCGGGTGGTGCCCCATAAACTGTAGTGTTAGAGTGGGCACTGGGCCGGCCAGAGACGGGGGAGACGAGTGTCCAGTGCAGCCAATCAGCGGCAACTCTCCAGTGGCCATTCTCTTATTTGATCTCATCACGGCACCCGCCATGGAGCAAGTGGGAGCTCCCTGTTGGAGCTGGCCTTCCACCCCGTCTCCACCCCTCAGGGTCTTCACAGGAGCTCACTGTCAGAGCTGG